TGTGATACGGATGCGTATCAAGAAATGAAACCTGTGTTATATGTTGACGTAGGTACACGGTCTAGGTAGGTTTAAAAAAGCAAAAACAAAACAATAACAAAAAGCAAAAAAACCCATACAAACAAAAAACATATATTAAAAGACAATATTACTATAAAAAATGATCAAGAGAGTGAATGCTGGAATAGTTCTACGGCTAGAGCTTGATCTAGAACAGTCGGCGACACACTTACGCACTACACTGTTTTCTGTTATGTAATGCACACCACACAGATTGTAAAATAGGCAGTTTGTCTCCGACAAGGAACACGCCAAAACACAGACAGCTGTATCCATGACACCATTCCTTGTGGTGTTGACAGACTGGCCATATTGACTACTGGATACAGCACTTCCATGGTGGAAGTAAGGCCTACTTCTCGCTTCATTAATATTTCACGCAGCGTTGTGATTCTAGCATGCCAATGACTTCAAAGAACAAAGGGGGCCGATGTGGTCAGACCTTTACAAATCACGTTGGTGAACATTAAACCATATTAGTGGCATCATGAATATGTGTCTGCAATGAATCATTCATATCCACAGCCGTGTGGATTTTAAATACTGCTACTGCCACTTGAACAACGCCAGCGCAGAAAACTTATGTTACCAGTTTAGTTTATGGAAATTTATTTTACGACGTTTTTGTCTGTTGAAATGCCTGCTACATTACATGGATGTCAGGTTATAGTTCAAGTTCAAGTTTTCTCAGAAAGATGTGAGGTGAAATGGGGTTTAACGTCGCGTCCAAGATTATTGCACTTATATAGCGACGTGCATGTACGTGTGTGTGTTTGTGTGGCTGCTTGTACTAGTCCGGACTGATGCCGATTTATAGTGCTAGCTCATTGAGATACCATGCCGCAGTTTAACATGAATATCCCACTCAGACACAATATACTGACTCCGAGCCGACCAGTCCTTGTTTTAGCCCCTTGATGCCGAGCGCCAGACAGGGTAACAACAAGTACCATCTTTTAACGTCTTTTGGTATGACGCGGCCGGGGATCGAACCCCGGACCTTCCGCTCTCCGGGCGGACGCTCTACCACTAGACTACGGAGGCGGTTTTCTCAGAAAGACCCACCAACGGTGGTACATGACAACAATTATAATATTAATTCTTAATATAATAATAATAATAATATCAAGATGACAGGAATAGTGAGGAAATACATAGAGAGATGAAAGATTACAATGAAATATGTCAGATTAAAGTGACAAGAATCTCATACACGTTCTTTTAACAGCTTCAACATTTCTAAGGATGGTATTGATGAATTTGGACATGTCTCTTATATCCTTTACTCTAGTGCTGGATAAACTTCTTTTTTTCAATTTATACATATTGGGCCATTCAGAGATATCTTTAGGTATGTACATAGACCGCCACTGGAGAAGTGCTTCACATCTGAATAGGTAAAGAAACTCGTCACCAAATGCGGAGCGTGTTCACTTTTTAAGATTTTTATCTGAAAATAGCCGCGTCTGTTTAAACGTGTTTCTTCTTCAGGGCATTATCAATTATAATTATCAAATTTACATGTAGTAGGATGGCGATATAGACTGGATAACCGAGTCTGACTTCAGACTGGCGTTTTGTGTGTAACCTGCGACTCGCGTCTGGACGTGATGCGCTGACATCTCGAACACCGAGACATTTCCTTGTTTCTATGTTTCCACTGAATGGGTGTGGAAATAGGTCGTACATCATAGCCAGCTATTGTATACAGCATAATGACCATCTGTGGGCCCTGAGTGGGCAGCGACTGACGTGGAGGTCAGCTGACGTAATACTGTATATATACTTAAACACACACGTTTAATCTGTAAGCAATTAGCACCGCCCCACCCATGGACTATCACCATTAGCAGCGACGCAAACGGCAGCTGTAACCGGGACATGATCACAGTATCAGATGACGGAGGGATCCATCACTCTGTACTAACAAGTTCCCATTGACGCGAACAAAACATTACATCGAAACGAGTCAATAATTGTTGAAAGAAACAAACGCTAACCTCTAATTCAGGGTTAGAAATTGGCACTAGTCCTATAGTCCTTGCGAAACTGCCCAATAGTAAAGGTATCCTAAGGACTAGTAGAATTTTGACATATTTAAAGGTTTTGCTATATGATATCATTTTAAGGACTAGTGGACTGAAACTGTTAGTTTTCTACCGCTGCAATTACATTCATATTGTTCAAATGAATTTCGGTGTGACAGCAGTGTTAGATTTATTGACCAACAGACTATGTTGAAGTTGTAGTATTGTTTAACACCCCCTGCAACTGTGTTGTATTAGCAGGGTCATGCTAAGGGACCAATCTCACTTTATCATACAGTAAACTACGGTTATTACGAACTCAAAGGGATCATTAATGTTAGTTCGTTATAACCGCAGTTCGTTATAAGCATATATGCAGCATATATACAAGTGGTCGTGACAAAAAACAAGCTCGTTATATCCGTCAGTTCGTTATAAGCGTGTTCGTTATGAACGTAATTTACTGTACATACATTATACAGTGCCAGGCGGATGGAACTACAATTAAAATGCATTGTATTTGAGGCCGATGCTTTTATGTTGAAATATAATCTGTGTGTATATATATCGCGTATCAGTTTTATATTGTTGTTGAGGCTTGTGGTTCTGTGAACATTTCATGACTTGATGCAGGTCAGTCACTAATGTTGTATACGGCCTATGCACATCGACAATACCTATACTACTCAAATACGTTAAGGATAACTCGATTCTTTCATATTACCATAGTTAATCTGTAGACATGACAGATTAACTAAATATAAATGTGACCCGCGAAGATCCGGGGTAGAATAGGTCTTTAGCCATGCTTGTCGTAAGAGGCGACTGACCGGATCGGGTGGTCAGGCTCGCTGACTTGGTTGAAGGATGTAATCAATCCCAATTGCGTGGATCGATGCTCATGATATCAACCACTGGATTGTCTGGTCGATTATTTACAGACCGCCGTCAGCTGGGATATTGCTGGGTGCGACGTAAATAGAGGATTCATCACGAGTGTTTTTTAATATGGGAAATATCAACCGAGTCTTAGTTAATCGGTATTTGCCGAGCCTTTGGCGAGGCAAATACCGATTAACGGGACGAGGTTGATATTTCCCATATTAAAAAACACTCGTGATGAATTCTATTTATCATTTTCACATTTTTGCTTCCAAATTAAGGAATAATTGCATAAAACATTAACATCAGCAACTTGTCGAAATCTTTCGTGCGTATTCTCGCTCGTGCGTAGTGATACATGTTTTCCATAGCCGAGTAAACCAAAATAAACAATTCGCTGAGAAAAAAAGTTCCTCGGATTATTTTAAACAAAATACTTGAACAGACTTTGGCAGAATAATTGAAACTTTAATAACGGTAACAACAACGATTCTGTGTAATCTGATTATATCTCTGGTGTAACTTCACTTATAATATATAGTTTCAAACCAACCCCCTTCCTTTCCGGTTAGCTATTTTGCATATATAATTTGCATACTTTTGTCATTGGGGTATGACATACATGTTTTTTATGTCATAAGCTTATGTCATGGATAAATGCTTTAGTTAAATGATAAAACAACGAAGCAACCAACTAAATATAAATGTAAAAGAATCGGGTGGTCCCTACCTTGTTTTGAGTAGTATATATCTAATGACACCATATATAAAGAGGGCTCACCATATAGTGTATCCTGCCATTGTTGTACTGTCTGTGTGATGTTTTATTGTTTGTGTCAATCTCATTAAAATCAGATAGCGGTAGCGAGAACTAAGATCTGATTTTAATGAGATTGTGTTTGCGTAGAATGTTGTACTGTCTGTGTGGAATGTGTTACTGTCTGTGTGGAATGTGTTACTGTCTGTGTGGAATGTTTTACTGTCTGTGTGGAATGTGTTACTGTCTGTGTGGAATGTGTTACTGTCTGTGTGGAATGTGTTACTGTCTGTGTGGAATGTGTTACTGTCTGTGTGGAATGTTTTACTGTCTGTGTGGAATGTTGTACTGTCTGTGTGGAATGTGTTACTGTCTGTGTGGAATGTTTTACTGTCTGTGTGGAATGTTTTACTGTCTGTGTGGAATGTTTTACTGTCTGTGTGGAATGTTGTACTGTCTGTGTGGAATGTGTTACTGTCTGTGTGGAATGTTTTACTGTCTGTGTGGAATGTTTTACTGTTCGTGTGGGATGTTGTGCTGATAATAATTATAGCAAACTAATGACGATAAACATACTTGGACATAAATGAATTATACTGCCGACGTGGGTGTGTTGCCTCTAAGCCCACATTGCGTCATTCACAGAAAACGTACAGTACCACTCGGTGTAAAACCAAGTTAAGTCTTCAAGCATATACCACAGGGGTAACTCTTGTCGTGCTGACACTTACAACAAATAAGGTATTTGGTACACGCTAACATGATATCACTCCGAATTACCTAAAAAGTAAATATCAATCGTTCGTAAACAAACTGAACTGAAGGAACCTCACCGTACAATATACACATACATAAAATCCTAACGATACAAAAACAAGCCTGGCTGCCAGACAACGTTTTATATGCCGTTGTGTACATTTAGCGCTATTCGGGGAATGCATGTCGTGTATTTGGAATTCCCTGCACAAACAGCAGAGAGGCTAGGCAGCGCACAGCACATAGCACATTTAGCTGCTTCATACAAGCCACGGGACGTGACCACAGCTGACAGCTGAATATTTCTGTCAGTGGTCAGTCTTCTGTCGTCTATTTTCTTCAACACCCTCTAATAATCAATAAAAACTGATAACATCTGTCAAGAACGATGCCGAAGTCTGATCAGCTGAGTGTACTTCCACGCATGTATGCTGCAGCGCGAGAAGCTCGTGTGTTCATTCCCCGAGCTGCCGGTCAGTGTGGCACGGCTTGTATCCCCGACATATTCAACAACTCACCATTTTCGTACCACTCATCCTCAAGTATGTCGTCCGTTTCAAACGTCTCACAAGCTTCCATTTTGATGTTGTAATTAGCCAGATACGGCCATGTCGACCCCTCGCGATCCTCCGTTACACTCCGCTGTCTAACTCCAACCGAACCTCGTTCTGTCTTCGACGTGGCAGATTCAACTTCCGACTGACTGACAGCCAAGCAAGTCACATTACAGTCACGTGATCACAGTCGGCTCGCTCAAGGCTTGTTTGTTGCTCGTTAGAATCTGTCGCGGGCAGCGCTGTAAAGGGTTGATGTGTTTTCATTTAACACAAAACTTAATACGAACGATGTTTACATCTTTACTTTCCACAAGAGCAATTGGATACTGGCACTTGAGAAGTGTCAGATAGCACTGTAAACAATAAGTGCTAGTTCCCAAGAAATATGTTTAAGTATTAAAATCCCTCAAAACCTGTTAATTGCAATTAACTTACCAAAGACATAAACGAATGATTTTATGTCACATGTCATATTCTCGTTACTGTAAGAACTGATATATGCCTTACCCTAACTGGAGTTTGTAATTTCTCATTCTTTCTGTACAATATCAATATCAAGCGAAGTATCAATATATCAATATCTTCCAACAAACAAACTTACTGTCAAACAATTTGTCAAACCACGGAAGTAAAAAGAACACGTTTCCATATTATTTTAAGAAATAGTTTTTTATTCCTGGTTTTGATATGAATATCACAACCATTGGGATGTTATGCAATAAAAATCCCACGATTTCAATTGCTTCTTTCGTCATGTTTTAATCGAAAATGTAAGCTGTATCACCATGTTCATACTTGTGTACGTAATAAGTCATACACGTTTTTGTAATTTCATATCATTTCCTTGTTTATGAATTACATGATTTCCGATTGTTGAGTGAAATGGCCGATACGACCGGACAGACCCCGATGCCGTGCATCAGGTACACTCACCTGTGTGATGTAGGCATGTAGGTATGCATACCCGACAGATAACACCAATATCAGTGTGTCACCACTCGAGCTTCGTACCTGTCAGCGACAGATATGACACAACAGCTTCATCACCGTCGACGTCGTAGTCATATATGTATATACACGACACACATAATGTTAGGTGACCCCCCCCCCCCCCCCCCTCCTCCCCGCTCTAAAAAAACCCTAAAAAAACCCAAACAAACATAACAACAACAAAACAAACATATAAAAAACACACACCAAAAAACAACAACTCAAAAACCCAATTAAAAAAACAAAAACAACAACAAGCAAAAACAAACAAAACAATGCACATTGTCAGAAATGTATACATTTGGCCATGATAAAAATATGTTATTTTAAGTCATCTTTTCACTTGATGCACATTTATTATTTTTGTGACATGTCTTTTCACCCGACTCTCAGGAGACTGATTGCTGGTATACATGTACATGTTCCACGTGTATGTGGTGAGGTCTGAATGCTTAATTCCTGTCTCAAACGGATGTCCCAATAAGCCACAGGGTTGAAGAAAATATCTTTACACGCTTCAGTGGCCACCTTGTCGACAGCCCTTGTCCTCTGTTATTGGGATATAGTGTCTTTATGTTGGGATATAGTGTCTATATAGTGTCTATATGTTGGGATATAGTGTCTATATGTTGGGATATATATATGTTGGGATATAGTGTTTATATGTTGGGATATAGTGTTTATATGTTGGGATATAGTGTCATTATGTTGGGATATAGTGTCTATATAGTGTCTATATGTTGGGATATAGTGTCTATATGTTGGGATATAGTGTCATTATGTTGGGATATAGTGTCTATATAGTGTCTATATGTTGGGATATAGTGTCATTATGTTGGGATATAGTGTTTATATGTTGGGATATAGTGTCTATATGTTGGGATATATTGTCTATATGTTAGGATATAGTGTTTATATGTTGAGATATAGTGTTTATATGTTGGGATATAGTGTCTATATGTTGGATTAGTGTCTATCTGATGGAATATAGTGTCTATATGTTGGGATATAGTATCTACACGTGTCCATATGTTGGCATATAGAGTCTATATGTTGTGATACAGTGTCTATGTGTTGGGATAGAGTATCTATATGTTGGGATATAGTGTTTATATGTTGGAATATAGTGTTTATATGTTGGAATATAATGTCTATATGTTGGGATATAGTATCTATATGTTGGGATATAGTGTCTATATGTTGGGATATAGTGTCTATATGTTGAGATAGAGTATCTATATGTTGGGATATAGTGTCTATATGTTGGAATATAGTGTTTATATGTTGGAATGTAATGTCTATATGTTGGGATATTGTATCTATATAGTGTCTATATGTTGGGATATAGTGTCTATATGTTGGGATATAGTGTCTATATGTTGGGATAGAGTATCTATATGTTGGGATATAGTGTCTATATGTTGGAATATAGTGTTTATATGTTGGAATGTAATGTCTATATGTTGGGATATTGTATCTATATAGTGTCTATATGTTGGGATGTAGTGTTTATATGTTGGAATGTAATGTCTATATGTTGGGATATTGTATCTATATAGTGTCTATATGTTGGGATGTAGTGTTTATATGTTGGAATGTAATGTCTATATGTTGGGATATTGTATCTATATAGTGTCTATATGTTGGGATATAGTGTTTATATGTTGGAATGTAATGTCTATTTGTTGGGATATTGTATCTATATAGTGTCTATATGTTGGGATGTAGTGTTTATATGTTGGAATGTAATGTCTATATGTTGGGATATTGTATCTATATAGTGTCTATATGTTGGGATATAGTGCAGACATATTATAATAAACATGTACGAATGGAACAAGAACAGATGTTCTTTAGGCTTTTGAAACCTAAACTTAATATAAAAGTATAACTTTCAAAACATCCTCAAGAAGAGCACAACATACCACATCATAAATATCATCTTGAGGCCTTCCATGAAAATTAATAACGTTTTCTACCATGTAACGTTATCGTTTCCATGACTCACCATACATATTTATTAAGCTCCACGTTCGTGCAGGTTATTTGTACAGTCGTTCATTATGCCCGGCTCCGTATAAGGACACGACAACAGTTATTTATAACCTGCGGGTTTTTCCCTTTCATGAAGTTAGATATTGCCCCACGAGAGCAGTTGACGCGGCCATGGTTTTCGCACCCTCGCACAAAGTGGCTCTGACGAAACTGGAAATAAACGGAACCATTGACGTCTTGCGAAACAGAATTATTGACACTTGCGATGGTCCTTAGCCTTTTGGTGTCATACGCAATGGAAAGGTCAAACTTATGGCCATCTTTTGAGTGTCGCTTATGTCATGACATTGCACGAGCGTGTCTCTCAAACTGCGATACATGAAAACACATAATGAGACTATTACGAAACAGGAGTGACGCAAAGGCCACCTGGTCAGGTGGACAACGCCAATGGCCGCCACCGTGTCCATCAAAGAGTGAGTGAGTTGGGTTTAACGCCGATTTTAACAGTATTCCAGTTATATCACGGCGTGTCAGCTTAATGTGGGAGGCAAGCCCAAAGTGATGAAACCCACGAGCACGGGTATGGTGCTGACAAACCTAGAAACATAATCGGGGCGAACCGGGATTCGAACCCACAATCATAGGTTTCTGGCGTGCCCAAGGGACGCACAGCGAATCGCGGCGCCTTAGACGACTGGGCCACTCGTGCCCCCCCCCCCCCCCCCCCCCCCCCCCCCTCCCATCAAAGACAAAACAGTGTTCGTGTTCACTATGTGAATCAGATGCATTTGATCTGTGCAAAGTGCTGGAAAGTGAACTTGTAGACAATCCTGTTTATTGCTGTACACCAAGGAACAACAGTTACTATGAAATTACTCTCGCGAAAAACGCGCTCGTAATATCTCTGTCAGACTCGATAATTATTGTCGATAATGAAGTGTACAAAGTCGCGCCTTCAGTGAAGGACTGAGCTTATCTTTCTTTTATGAACTGACCCAGCTACACAGCAGATGAAGAAACCAGAGATGTATTACAAGCGAAGTCCATACCATACATAGAAGACCCGTGAAGGTCCGGGGTAGAATCGGTTTTCAGCAACCCATGCTTGCCGTAAAAGGCGACTATGCTTGTCGTAAGAGGCGACTAACGGGATCGGGTTGATGCATGTCATCGATCCCAATTGCGTGGATCGATGTTCATGATGTCAATGACTGGATTGTCTGGTCCAGACTCGATTATTTACAGACCGCCGTCATATAGCTGGAATATTGCTGAGTGCGGCGCAAAACAACAAACCAACCAAACCATACATAAAAAAAAAATTCATAGCACCAACTTCCAAGATGGAACCAGGTATACACAGGTTAAGTTTCCCTCTGGAATTCGTTGCGTTCCGTAGGGCACCAAATTCTAAACACATGAAGGATTTGACTTCTTCAGAGTCCTTCATAATCAGCAAATGAAAGTATGTCACCACTGCCTTTCTGAACAGCATGAGAAAGGAACTGCTCAAACATTGTACGCAGGAGTGAGTGATGTTTTACGCCGCGTTTAGCAATATTCCAGCAATATCACGGCGGGGGACACCAGAAATGGGCTTCACACATTTGTACCCATGTCGCGAATCGAACCCGGGTCTTCGGCGTGACGAGCGAACGCTTTAACCACTAGGCTACCCGACCACCCCTTGTAAGCAAGGAACTGTGGGAACGGAGGACATGTTCAGTATAATTGGCGCGTTCCCAAATGCCACAGGTGTAACCTTCACTTGAAAACTGCACCTGCTTTTGATATGAAGATATTGTGATGAATTGATGAGGATGAGGATGAGAAAAATGGTGTTGGCATGGGGACCATGGACACAGACCGACTCACCTCTAGCCAAGTGGCCAATGCCTCCCTGACATTTCGCCTGAAGATGACAAAGAAGAGGAAGGAGGATTTATGACTGTGGCGATCCACGTGGAGCAAAATGAGAAAATCACTGAAGATTCACGTGTAAGAAATTTTGTGTGAGACTTGGACAAACAAACACACAGTCTTGCCAATGGCATATTACTAGAAACAGCTGACCTGAGTTTACATGTTGTCAAGTGCAGATATGATGTCAAAAAACATCTTGTAGTGTTCCTCGTAGTGTTGATGTCGTAGATGTCACAGGTACAC